CTCACTGTAAATATATAATAATGAAATCGTAACTGTGGTGAGCAGTGATTGCCTATATCCAGAAGAGACATTACCACAATCAGTCCCATGATTTGGAGTGGCTGTTGGGTTGCTGAGCAGTACTTTCCATATATCTAGGTTAAGCTGGAAAGGTATTCATTTATACATAGCATGTTTTGGACAAGTAGAACCGTTAAAGCCCATTCCTCTCTGGATTAATACACAGCTAATACTTAACCTTGGTTATCAAGATGTGGCCATTGATTGTATCAAGGGTACCCACTACCAGACTAAGAAGCTCTATGACTAGGACAATGTCATTTAAAAAAAAATATTTAAAGGGAGATAACTCTTTGGAAGAGTTCAGTTTAGGTTAGAAATATTTGCAGATTTTTTTTACTTTTTTGAAGTTTTTCTTTTGATGTCTTGAAAATTCATAATTTTCTTTCTTTTTTATTTTTAGGTAAGTGGTTATTTACTTATTCACGTGATAAGAAAAGGTGACGATTTCTGTGAGGTAAGCGACTTTTCAGGCTTGTTTTATTTCATCCTATTTTCAAATGATGGCACACGACAGGTGCAGAAATGATATGTAAGTTCATATTCTTTGTTCTTTAAAAATTAGTGATCATCCATCTTTCAAAAGGAATATTATAATGTTATTCTTGTGAATGTGGGTTTGCCATGAGTGGATATAAATTGTTTCAAGTTATGTTAAAGGCGCTCTCACTCTCTCTCTCTCTCTATATATATATATATATATATATATATATATATATATACTTTAAAAATAAGAACAGTTGAATCTGCTACCTTGGTTTCAACCTTACGTTATCCTCAGGCGATTTTTATCAAATGACCTCTTAATGCTTTACTTTTTTTTTAAAAAAAATAATGAACACTATGTTATTTTTTTTTTAAATAAACAAACAAATGCATAAGGTTGAGTGTAATAGAAAGGAAGGAGGACAATATGAAGATATGACTGCACAACTATGAAATTCAAACACACTATTCTTCAGGGATCAGTAACCAACAGTGGCAGGGTGAACTTTTTGTACAGCAAATGAAGTCACATACAGAGTGATAAAGGTTAATATGTAACAATAACAAGTTAGATTTGAGAGCTTATCATGAACCAACAAACAAAAAAAGATCTAATTAATTTCTGTTCCCACCACAATCAAAAAATAAAATCAGGACTAATTGTGGGATTCAACCTCAGAGCCCTTAGAATATGTAGCCCAGAATACCTAGGTGAAGAAGAGAAATACATTTAGACTTCTTCACTACCCACGTCATTTCATACTCAATGCTAGAAAATGAGCGTACAAAGTCCACAAATCCCTAAAACTAGACACCACTGATAATATTTCTAACATCAACACAAAATTCATAATCCTACCCTCTAACACTACAAAATTTGTAAATAAATTAGTTATCCCTAATACTAGGATCTTTACCACTACATCCAAAGCAATCAGATATAAAATTAGGAAGAAAAATAAATTCAACACTAATTCATATGCTGGTACTTATCAAATAAATTGCTTATTATGTAAAAGCTCTTATATTGATGAGACATCTCAAAATCTAAAAGCCCGTATCTACAAACAGAAAAAGGATTGACATTTGGGCAACCATTTAAAACTTGCTCATAATACACAGGGATAAAACTGGGCACAAGTTTGATTTTACAAATGCCACCCTATTAAAAAAGAATATTTACAAGTTAAAAGTACTTTGAGAGATTACTAATAAATATTTTACAACCTATAAGCACATGTCAAAAACATTATATTACATCACCAACCTTTATTGAATCCATTCTTAAAGAATCTAACATATACTTAACTAAATCAGTGTGTACATAAAAACATTCCCAAATCAACATGCGAAAAACAACCAAACATAATGTCTGTTAGACATAAACACACCATCACTTAGGAATATACATTATCATCTGAATCCCATAATGAGAAATTAGAATTATTACACACTTTCACACATAAAGCAATATTTACAGTTTAGACTTGGAACCTGTTAATTTCTTGGAACTTCAAAAGGATTCTTTGTCTCCATGAATTTGGAATGCCACAGATTATACTATCGTTTGTTTAACAATGATGCTCATGTGAAACCTGCATTTAACCAATGAAAGTCAAACACAAAAATAAAAATACCAGAATTTCTTTTTTTCCATTCTCTGATGAAGCTTTAATGAAAGTGAAACCTCTGTCTATATTTCTGAGATGAGGTATTGTAACTATTTACATTGTTCAAACTGTTGCCCTCATCTTTATTGTCATATTCATGACGTTTCGGCGATTGTATGCGCTCACCTTCTTCAGGTGATATACATTGTAATTTTGAACTGAACTCTTTATTTAGTCCACTGGTGTAGAGTGTTCTAGTTCCACATGCCATACCTTTTCTGGATATCTCAGTTTCAGTTTAGTAACTCAGCTTTCCATGTTTTTGTTCACCTCTGCTGTAGCCAAATATTGAAATGACTGGATTACTTCAACCAATGCTTTATCTACTGGACCATGTGTCCTTGGGGGTCATAAGTGAATGAATTTTTGGGACTTATAAACCTAATGTCTCAGTAATCATTTTTTTTACCAGAGCTCATATTACAATTTGTTGTTATTGTTGTTTTTCTCTAGCACTCTTTATTACTAGTTCCCATATTGTATTTATATCTATGTTTGGTCAGCTTAGGAAATTTTTGTGACCTTGCATATGTGTTGATTCCTTAAATTTTCACATTTTCCAGTAATGTTCTTTGTTTAGTATTTCAACCTTTTCCCATAGAGATTGTATTTTTTTTTTTATATATATATATATATATATATATATATATATATATATATATATAATTTTAAAATGCATGTGTGTATGATCGGATGTTGTTTATGCATTTCCACAGTTTTCATCTGATTTTGATGAAATTTCATTTTTTTGATAAATAATTCTTCAGTGCTGATTTTGAGTCCAAATTGTTGGTGGCAATGGCTCTCCACTACTTCCTCTCCATTATAACTCTCAGCAACATTTTACTATTTACTATCTGTTCTTGGATATATATCTTTCATAAAAACTTTAATAAAAATAGTTTACATTATTACAATAATATTATTATTATACAGTTCCCTTTTCAGGGCCACACTCCTCCATTCAAATTGTTAACCCCCCCCCCCCCCATTTGAGGATGTGCCTCAGTTACACCCAATTGTTGTTACTAATATTGATTTTTGGGTGGGCTGACTTTAAACTGCTCCAATTGAATGGCAAAAATTCCCAGTAATTAAAGACCGGTCAAAGACTGTTTATACTGCTAGTATACATACATACATACATATATATATATATATATATATATATATATATATATATATATATATAAAAAAGCAATAATATTATCATTAACAGGTATAATAAAAATTGATTCAATTGGTTGCTTTTGTCAAATTGTAAATTTTACAATAGTTGAGAGCTAAAGTGCATGTAGCTTTGATAATTGTCACACGATGTCTGTTGACAGTGCAGAGTGAGCCAATTTTGTATGGTTGTTGGTCGGTCATCACCTGCTAGTTGTCCTCATCTTTCTCCTTGGTTGACCTTTACGAAGGAAAATGAGAATGTAATCTGTCCGATGTAGCCTCGGACAGATTTCAGCAATCTGACTGTTAAAAACCCGCACACCAGACAGGAATTTGTGGCACACAGACATTTTTAGGGTCACAGAGAGAGTTTGAAATGGTGGTGAACATGCATATTTAAAATAATTTTTTTTTGATGGTTGGGGTGGAATTTTCTGTTTGCAAAGTTATTACTTACCGTTTTATTTACAGTCTTTACACTTAACTAAATATTTAAATATTTATTTAAATATTTAGGGAAATAAACAAATCATTAATTCATTTTAACCCAAGAAAGCCTGAACACAAAAACTGATTTACAAAATTTAAAAAACTTGGTCATCTTTACCAATGTAGTTACACAGCTGTCAACCAGCGAATGGTGGTATTTGGTATATGTACAGGAAGTAGTCATAAATGCAATGTCAATCACCATCTTATGTCTCCTGTTCATCTTTTGTCCTTTCCTCAATCCTCCCTATTCCCAGTCTTCTCTTTCACTTTCACTCCCTGTATCCCTCTGTATACAAGTGGCATTACTGCTATGCTTGGGGTGAAATGCTTTTTTCTTTTTTAAAAAATGTCTTTTGCCTCAAAACTGGCTGCTATTATTAAATTGAATCTTCACTTTGGTGAATATGTTATTTCACTGAAAAATCAAAAGTTAGAAAATTAAAGGGAGATAACTTTTATATCTGAATAGTGCTTTTTAAAAAATATGTGTCATTTAAAAATGTTGTTTATTTACCCACTGTGTGGAGAGGTACTGAGCTTAATTGGCCAAAACTTTGATGAAGCACGGCGCTCAGCTGAAGATTGCAGCTGGGCTGGAGCACTTGATGGGTACTTGTGTTCAATAATAACCTTTTCTCCATAAATTCATTACTGAAGTCTTCTTTTGTATAATCTATGTGCCATTCAGGATGTAAGCAGTCATGACTCTCCACAATTTCCTGTCCTTTGTAGCTCTTAATAAATTTTATCTTTTTTTATCACTTCTAAACCTAGTTCCACCATCCATTGACTGAAGCTTACCTGTTAGGTTATACATTGTTTTCCTCTGTCCCTCTTGCCTTCAATTTTTCCTGTGAGTATCAAATTTTCCAAGCCCTCTTTCCTCATTATATATTCAACTGTCTCTTCCTGGTGTTAAATATAAGTGTTCTTTAATGTTGCTTAATATTTTGATTTTATTCTAGGAATATTTAAAAATGAGTAAAAAGGATGAAAAACAAAATCATTTAAATATTTGTCCCATCCAAAATATATGCGTAAATAGATAAAAAATTAAAAAGAAAATTTTTTGTATTAATTCATATTACTCTTTTTATTTAGTTATTTTAATATTTAAAAGTTTACAGCCATATCATGTTGAAACCCCAGTTCCTATAAAATCACAGAAACTAAGCAACATCAAGCCAAGTCAGTACCTGGATGGGTGACCACTTTGGAATACCAAGTGTTGTAAGCTTGGATGTGCAAGTGGTGCAATAAATAATGACTTGGAATTGTTAATTGGTGAGCTGAGTCCCAATTCTCATTGGATTTGTTATATTCACTTATGTACAAATACCCCTGGGAAAGGTATGAATCCACCTCTTGTCCCTCCAGCTATAGGTTAATTAGTAAGATTTGTATCACTAAACTATTATCATCTCAAAAAAAACATTCTTACAATCTAAAGATATTTTCTGGCTTTAAAATAACCTTCAAAGGGTTGATAACCTGTAGAAAATGAATAAACATATTTTAATCATTTTTTTATTCATATTTTATTTTTGTTGCCTGAGAAAAAAGACAGTCAATTTTATGGCTTTAACAGATTTCAAAATTAAATAATCCTCTTAAACAAATTGAGTTCTTGTTAATCATTATTGTAAATAAGCAACAGATTATTGAGTAACTTTTAAGTGATACATAATTTAAAAAATAAGTACCATTCAGATATAAGTTATCTCCCTTTAATTTTCCATGTTTGGATTTTTTGAACTGAACCATTTGATGAAGGGAAGATTCAACATTTGTCTATATTTCTGAGATGAGGTATTGTAACAATTTACATTATTTACATCATTCAGACTGTTGTCCTCGTGTATTTACAATGTTTTGGCCATTGTACACTCTGGCCTTCTTCAGGGGATATATGCATGGGAGGCATGGCACATGGAGTTAGAACAATCTTCCCCATGGACTAAATAAAGTTTTCGGTTTGAAATTCCGACATATATCACCTGAAGAAGGCCAGAGCATATAACTGCTGAAACATTTTGAATATGGCAATAAAGGTAAAGACAACAGTCTGAATTATGTAAATAGTGAAGATTCAGTTTAAAAGTCTTAGTGAAGCCAGTTTTTGGACTAGTGACATTCACTGTTATAAACCAGACCAGTTCTATGTATATTGCAACCAGTTGGCATCAATGTATTAAACTATATAGTTTAAGAAATTCAAATATAACGGTCATCTCCTTTAATTTTCTATGTTTGTATTAGTGAAAATTCAGTTCAACAGTCTTGCTGAAGCCATTTTTTGACTTTCACTTTTATGAACCAAACCTGTACTACCATAGGTGTTTGAGATTCACAGAAGATTTTCTTTTAGTTTAAGGAAAATCAGTGTATGATTATATTTACTTTCTAAATTGGTATCTTAAATGATACCACAGATCTCTTAGAGATAATTTATTTTTATCCACATTGGAACACATAGAAAAAACCCCAAAATATACAAAAAGAAACAAAACAACAAAGATGATGATAATAATCTGAAAAATCTGTGGAATGAGTGATTGATTCATTTTCTATGGCTTATCAACCCATTGCAGGTTATTTAAAGCCAGAAATTTTTTTCTTTAGATTGTAAAAATTCTTTTTGGTGATAATAATGATTTAGTGATATAAGTCTTACTAATTAACACATAGCCGGGGGAGAAGAGGTGGATTCATACATTTCCCAAGAGTATTTGCATGTAAGTGAATACAATGAAACCAAAGGCATTTGGAACTTTGCTCTCTGATTAACAATTCTGAACTATTATCCATTACACCACCTGCACATCCAAGATTACAGCAGCTTGTATTTCCAAGCAGTCACCTATCTAGGTACTGATCAGGCTTGACATTGCTTAACTTCAGTGATCATATGGGAACCAATGTTTCAGTATGACATGACTAAGTCATTAAATATTTGATGTTGTTTAACTTTGGTAATTGTACAGGAACCAATGTTTCAACGTGATATGTCCATAAGCCCTGTGGAATAAATTCTGGTTAATTATCAAGTCTTTTAGTTTGGTAAAACATAGAAACAAAATATTAAATATTAATCTTCTACCCCCAGCTGATGAGTTATAAAATCATTGTGCCGAATTTATTCATCAGAGAAAATTAATGATGATTAATAGTAAAGAAATCTCGTTATAAAAATATTTTGTTTTGTTCTGTGAGATTTCATGGCTCAGGAGTTGTGTATTTCCTACCCACACAGTTTTCTAAAACTAACCCAACTTGCCTACATAAAATCATTGATCTCTTGGAGGACAAGATTTGGAACAGCACTGATTCGATTGGATAAGATAAATGCTGTTCAACTTAGGTGATTGATTCTGGCAGATGACAAAATGGATTGGATAAAGTTTGACTCAAGTAAAAACGAAGTCTTCAACTTGCATTCTTGCTTATCTCATTGGACCTTTCTCTGGTCTCTCTTATTGTGCTTGTTCTTTTTATGCTTTCTCATTGGTTTACATGATTCTCCCTATCTCTCCATCTCTCTCTCCTTCTTGGGTGAGCAACAGTTATTTCAAAGAATTTCTCAGTCTTGCTTGGATAAAATATTTCTGTTATTCAGTCGATTTTTTTAAACTCTTGACTTTTTAGTTTTGCTTCTCTCCTAATGTTGTGTTTCTCGCTTCTTGCTTGTCTTTCCTTCTCTTGAGTGGCTTTCAGACTACCTCTGAGGTAATGGTTAGTATTAGCAAATCTGGTTGGCCATTACTACTGAGTCGGGCGTTCAATCCTCATTGGGTGCCCCATACAAAATTTGATAATAAATAACTCAACAAAGGTTGGCATGTCACAGAATCAATCAATTTAACTTCTCTTTTTTTTTTTTTTGGTTTCTCCTTTTCACTTCCCTAAATTGTTTTCCTTCTCTCTAACTTGTCATCTTTCTCTTTCTTTCCTTTTCTAACTCGTCATCTTTCTCTCTCTCATCATCTTTCTCTCTAACTGGTTGTCTCTCTCTATGTTGTCTTCTTTCTCTCTATCTTGTCCTCTTTCTTTTTCCCTATCTTGTCATCACTCTATCCCTACCTTGTCATCTCTCTTTAAATCTCTCTCCCTATCTTGTCATCTCAATCCCTCTTTCACTATTTTTCGTCTCTCTCTTTCTAATTTATCATCTTTCTTTCTTCTTTCTCTCCTTTAAAATGTCATCTTCTTTCTCTCTCATCATCTTTCTCTCTAACTGGTTGTCTCTCTCTCAATCTATGTTTCTTCTTTCTTCCTATCTTGTCCTTTTTCTCTTTCCTTATCTTGTTATCTCTCACTCTCTCCTTATCTTGTTATCTCTCACTCTCTCCTTATCTTGTTATCTTTCACGCTCTCCCAATCTTGTCATCTCTCTCTCCCTATCTTGTCGTCTCTATCTCTCTCTCTCTCTCCCTATCTTGTCGTCCCTATATCTCTCTCTCTCTCCCTATCTTGTCGTCTCTATATCTCTCTCTCTCTCCCTATCTTGTCGTCTCTATATCTCTCTCTCTCCCTATCTTGTCGTCTCTATCTCTCTCTCTCTCTCCCTATCTTGTCGTCTCTATCTCTCTCTCTCTCTCTCCCTATCTTGTCGTCTCTATCTCTCTCTCTCTCCCTATCTTGTCGTCTCTATCTCTCTCTCTCTCCCTCCCTATCTTGTCGTCTCTATCTCTCTCTCCCCCCTATCTTGTCGCCTCTATCTCTCTCTCTCCCCCATCTTGTCGTCTCTCTCTCTCTCTCTCCCTATCTTGTCGTCTCTATCTCTCTCTCTCTCCCTATCTTGTCGTCTCTATCTCTCTCTCTCCCTATTTTGTTGTCTCTATCTCTCTCTCTCTCATTCCCTATCTTTCATCTCTCTCTCTCATTCCCTATCTTTCATCTCTCTCTCTCATTCCCTATCTTTCATCTCTCTCTCTCATTCCCTATCTTTCATCTCTCTCTCCCTTTCATCTCTCTCTCCCCTATCTTTCATCTCTCTCTCCTTCTTTCATCATCTTTCTTCCCTATCTTTCACTCTCTTTCCCTATCTTTCATCACTCTCTCTCTCTTTCCCTATCTTTCATCACTCACTCTCTTTCCCTATCTTTCATCTCTCTCTCTCTCTCTTTCCCTTTCGTGTCCCTCTCTCTTTCACTATCTTTTGTCTCTCTCTCTCTCTATCTTTTGTCTCTCTCTCTTTCTCTCTCTCTCCCTATCTCTTGTATCGCACTCTCCTTCCCTATCTTTCGCCTCTCTCTCTTTTTCCCTATCTTTCGTCTCATTCTTGCTATCTTGTCTTTCATTCATTCTCTCTCTCTCTAATTTGTCATCTCTCACTCTCTCTCTCTCTTTCGTTGTCTCTCATTCTCTCTCTCTCTCTCGTTGTCTCTCATTCTCTCTCTCTCGTTGTCTCTCATTCTCTCTCTCTCTCTTTGTCTCTCATTCTCTCTCTCTCTTGTTGTCTCTCACTCTCTAAATTGTCTCCCTTTGCTCTTCTTCTGTGTCTCCATTATATCTCATTATATCCTTTCAATCTGTCTTCAACATTCTGTTCTTGGCCTATTCAGAATTTTCATATAATTAATCATAAACTATACTTACTTTTTATTTATCATATTTTGAGTTGGTTGGGATGGGAGTCATCACCTGAGGCCACACTTTGCTTCTTTCTTCAAATAAAAAACTAAAAAAGAAGTTGCCATTAAATTCATAATTGTATCATCTTCAAGTTTAACCAATTATAGGGTCTCATTTGAAAGAAATCTAAGCATCTTTTTTGTTTGACAAAAATTGTTAAATCTTTATAGAAGAATCTACAGGAAAACTTTCTCTTGGCACATCAACTCATCAATGCCTCAAAAAGACATTTATTCAGGATGAGTCATTTCCAATATATCACCCGCCATTCCTATGTCGATGGCCTTTATGAAGTAATGAGGTTTATCTTTCAGGGTTAGTAGGATTTATAATTCTATTATAATATATGGCAACATTTTACGAGCAGTGGGTTGCATGAAATGTGGCTTATCATAAGGCGGGCCACACTACTAAAAAAATATTCGAGGCAATTTTTCATTGTCCTTTTTGCTTCAGAAGACCATACATGTAAGAATCTGCCTAAAAAGGTTTTTTTCTATAATTAAAAATTGAAAATTTTCATATACTATTGTTACTGATGACAATGTGATTAATGCTCACAGCTGTGTGTAATTTATTCATTTGAAAATACAAAAAATATATTTATAAATATATATATATATATATATATTTATTCTCTAGAGGAGATTCTTACGTGTATGATCATCCTTAGTGAAACTTGCCAATGATTAAAAATGCTAAAAATTTTATAAAGGGTTTTGGTTCAAAATTCCATTCACCTAAAGAAGGCTGGAGTGTACAACGGCTGAACCATTGTGAATACGACAACAAAGATGCGGATAAAAGTCTGGACAATGTAAATAGTGTAAATAGTTACATTACCTCATCTCAGAAATATAGCTAAAAAGTTATTGTCAACAGAAGCTGACAAAATTCAAGAATCATTCAGCTTAATCAATGTTATGTATGATGAGAAAGTGTGAGTGAACAAAATATTAATAAATGTTATTTTCTTTATAAAATTAGGCATATCCTTCAGAAAGCCAAATGTGCTGTGTGTAGCCCACAAGACACAAGTTGCTTTAAATCAGTTTTTAGAATATTATAAAATATTCTAAAGTCAGTTTATTGTATATACTTATGTATAGTGCGAGTTTTTATGATCAGCTTTTTATGCAAAAAGTAAGGGGTTGCACTGTACACAGAATTTTTTTAAAGAGGTAAAAATCATGCATTTTCAGTGACCAGTTGCACAATACACAGGTAATTTTTTTTCTGGCGGGGTTAAAATTCATACCAAAAACATTCAGAGATCACACTATACAGGAAGTAAGTTTATACATGAGTATTTACATTAGTTATAATTTATTTGACTCCACAAGAAAAAGTTTTTAAAAGAAAAAGCATTTCCATAGAAAAATAATCTTATGAATGTTACCTGTTTCTAAAGCAAAAGATGTTTGCACATATGATCTTCCTTAGTGAAAATCACCAATAGTTAAAAATGACAAAAATGTTACCTTTAAGGAAAGGTTAGAAAATTAAATAAAATTGTACTTAACCAGAGTTATATATGTGGTTACTACTCTGATGTTTTTTCACTTCCAACCAACTCTTGCAATGCTTTCACCATCAAAAGCTTCATTCAGTCATGAACATCAAATGAAATTAGTATGTAAAGAACACCAAATTCCTAGAAAGAGCCAACAGTCAAAGAATCAAATTGCTGACCATTGAACACCATCTTCAGTGTTCAGGACATGTAGCAAAAATGAAAGTGTCAAGGTTTCCATATAAAGTCTTATTCAGTGAGCTCACTTTAAGGAAAGACCACCGGGTTGCTCTCTTCAGGGAAAGGCCACCAGGTTGCTCTCCTCAGGGAAAGACCACCGGGTTGCTCTCCTCAGGGAAAGGCCACCGGGTTGCTCTCTTCAGGGAAAGACCACCGGGTTGCTCTCCTCAGGGAAAGACCACCGGGTTGCTCTCTTCAGGGAAAGACCACCGGATTGCTCTCCTCAGGGAAAGACCACCGGGTTGCTCTCCTCAGGGAAAGACCACCGGGTTGCTCTCCTCAGGGAAAGACCACCGGGTTGCTCTCTTCAGGGAAAGACCACCGGGTTGCTCTCCTCAGGGAAAGACCACCGGGTTGCTCTCCTCAGGGAAAGACCACCGGGTTGCTCTCTTCAGGGAAAGACCACCGGGTTGCTCTCTTCAGGGAAAGACCACCGGGTTGCTCTCTTCAAGGAAAGACCACCGGGTTGCTCTCCTCAGGGAAAGACCACCGGGTTGCTCTCTTCAGGGAAAGACCACCGGGTTGCTCTCTTCAGGGAAAGACCACCAGGTTGCTCTCTTCAGGGAAAGACCACCGGGTTGCTCTCTTCAAAGATACAAGGACCAACTCAAAACAATGCTAAAAGCCACTGAGCTTTAACAAAATCATTTGAAATGAAAATCCAAGACCGTACCAATTGGCAGTATTCCATCACCATCAGAACCAAAAAACTGGGTTTTGATAGCTTAATTAAATTGTTTTTTTTTTTTTTTACAGCTTATCAACCTTTTTTTGGGTTATTTAAAGCAAGAAAATATTTTTAGATTGTACAAATGTTCTTTTTGTTTTGTTTTTTTATAAATAATAATGTCTTACTGATACAAGTCCTACTAATTAACCCATAGCTGGGGGGAGAATAGATGGATTGATACTTTTCCCAAGGGCATTTGTACTCAAGTGAATATAATAATGAACATGACTTAAATTGGAACATAGCTCTCTGAGCTATTATCCATTACACCACCCACACATTGAAGCATACAGCACCTGGTATTCCCAAGCAGTCACCCATCTAGGTACTGACCAGGTTTGATATTGCTTAATTTTGGTGATCATATGAGATATGGTGTTTCAATGAGATATGGCTGTAAGAGATGTGGATTTGTGCTTTTACCAAAGGCATTAAAGCGAAAGTAAAGATGACCGACAAGGCCAGAATTTTGAACTCTGTTTACTTGTTCCATTTTCTTCACCACTGTCCATTATACTACCAAAGTTGTTATGGTAGACAAATTGAATTGACATTGAATCAGAAATTACATTTTTGGTGGTAGTGCTTTTTGCAGAGTCAAGTTGTCGTTACTCATTATTGTCAAAAGTGGAGAGGTACTTATAGAGTGTGGATGCTACTGATCAAAAATATTAACCTAAGAACTTAAGTCAAATTCTTAAATAACATAGTCAGATCTAAACTCTCATATGGATATGCATAGAGTTCTACTTTCATAAATGTCTAAATTATCAGTCATATATTTACAACTGTTTATGGTTAGCAAGCTTATCACGCTAGAACAATTACGGCTGAGTAGTGAGTTTGATCCTCACTGGGTGCCCCCTACTTTTGGCCTTGTGCTACATCTAAGCTACGCTTGGAAAATCACTATTTGAAGCACTTCGACGTGGTGCAATGGTTAGCAAGCTTGTCTTGCTAGAACAATTACAACTGAGTACACTTACAGCACCTGATATTCCAGGTACAGGTCCTACTATTTAACCCATAGCTGAAGATAGGGGATGGATTCATACTTTTCCCAAGGACATTTGTGCATAAGTAAATACAAAAAACCTGACTGGAATTCAAACTTGTCTTGTTGATAGAAAAATGGCAAGAATATGAAATGGTCATTTTTTTATGCTGCTGCAAATATTTTTCTACAATGTTATTTATTTCAAGCTAATGAGCCCTATAGGTTTTAAAGAAGCCTAGCCTTTATCAGATCTCCTAGACTGGCATAGAGAATCACAAATAAAGAACTTTACCAAATAACAAAAACCACATCAATTGAAAACTTCCAACAGTTTGAGTGATTTATTTTTTACAGCTTATCAACCCTTTGTAAGTTATTTAAGGCCAAAACATATTTTGGCTTACAAGAATTATTTTTTTCTGAGTGATTATGAGATTAACCATTTTCTGAATAAAATGATGGGGGAAAGGATGGATTCATATTTTTCCCAAGGTTATTTGTGTATAAGTGAATATAACAAACCTGACTGGAATTCAAACTTGGTTTGCTGTTGTAAAAATGGCCAGAATATGAAATGGTCATTTTTTTTATGCTGTTTCTTATATGTACTGCTATGCATCTTTTCCCACCATGTTATTTATTTCAAGCTAATAAGCCCTGTAAGACTGGCCTTCATCAGATCTTGTAGACTGGCACTGCAGAATCACAAGAGTGAGTGATTAATTTTTAGAGATAATAAGGATTTAGTTCTACAAACGTTACTAATTGCCCCCATAACTGGGGTGAAAAGAGGCGGATTCATAACTTTCACAAGGTTATTTCCTAGCAAATGAATATAATGAACCCAATTTGAATTGGAACTTAGCTCTCTAATTTTCAATTCCAAGTCATTATCCAATATAACACCCACACATTCACACTTACAGTGCCTGATATTCCCAAGCAGTTACCCATTTAGTTACTGTCAAAGTTCAATGTTGCTTAACTTTGGTTATCAACATGATATGGCCATAAGCTTATTTTCAACTGAATCAATGACAATGGTATGAGAGAAATAAAATAACCAGTTTTTCTTTTATATTCAAATCATTTTTCCTTTTCAACCAGAAATTCAAAAAATTAAACATTTCAATTGCTAATTCTCAATGGTCAGAATATCATTTTTTATGCCATTTTGTATATTTATGGTTACACATCTTTTTCCCCAATGTTGTTTATTTTCAGAGAATGAGCTGTGTAGGTTTTAAAGAAGTCTGTCCTTCATCAAATCTCATAAACTGGCATGACAGAATCACAAATAAAGAATTTTACCAAATAACAAAATTCCATGTTACTTGAAGTCTTTCAGTGGCATCAGTAACTTAAATAATTAATAACCTGTAACTAGAAGAAAAATATTATTGGGTTGGTGCATAATTATCAGGCGTTTTTAAACAATATTTATTATGAAAAAGAAACGTAACAATAACATTTTTAAGTGGGTATGATTATTGACATGCATTTTTGTGACCTGAAAATAAAATAATATTTTTATTAAAAAGAAAAAGTAAACAAAGCAGCATTTTTTATTAACAAAAAACTCACCTAGAAAAACGCCTGATAATTATGCACCAACCCAATACATATCAAATGGTCATGAAGGTGACGTCAGAAAGTGTGTGGAGTGCATCAGAAACGTCCTGATTATATACTGCAACCTGAATTTTTAAATGAGTATGATTATCGACACGCATTTCTATAACCTGATAATAAAATAATATTTTTGTAAACAAAACAGCAATTTTTATTAACAAATAACTCACCTACAAAAATGCCTGACAATTATGCCACCAACCCAATATCAACTTCCCCACTACCATATATTTTCTTTTTAATCATTTTACCCCAAGAAAAGCAATAAAGCTTCTAAGATGCAAGAGTGTGAGAGAATATGAGAAAATGAAAACCATATTAAGGAGAGTGAGCAGTAAAAGAACAGGCATTTAAAAAGAGCTTTAATAAATAACAAAAACCACATCACTTGAAAAACTTCCAACAGTTTAAGTGATTTATTTATTTTTGGAGATAATAAGGATTTAGTGATACAGATCTTACTAATTAACCCATAGCTGGGGGGAAAGGTGGATTCTTATCTTTCCTACTTACTGTGTAAGTAAATATAATGAGAGAACAATGAAAGAATAGGAATTAAGAAGACAAAAGATAACAATAGACATTGCATTTAAATTTTTGAAGATGAAAGTTGATTGGAAAGCAAGAAGCTGGAAGAGATTTCCACAAGTGGGAAGTGTAAGAGAAGAAGCTATTAGCATAGAACTTACAGTTACATCTAGCCATTTCAACTGTAAAATGACAAGATCTTGTAGCCAATCTAGTACCGTACTTAAATGTGTAAGGTTGAGGTAGCAAAGAGGAAAACTTATCATAACAATTAGACTGAATGTAGTTAGAGAAAAGGCACAGGGAAGCTATGTTATGACAGTGGGAAATCCACCTCTTTCCCTACAACTTCAGCTATAGGTTAATTAGTAGAAATTGTATCAGGAAAATCATTATCATCTCCAAAAATTCTTAGAATCTAAAAAAATATTTTCTGGTTTAAAATAACCTGCAAAGGGTTGATAAGCCATAAAAAACAAATTGGTCTTTTCCTTTCATTTCTTATTTTCCAATTTCTTTTTCATCTTTTGTTTTTCTTTCACTTAGGTGCAAATATCCTTTGGAAAGGTATAAATCTACATCTTCTCTCCCCAGCTATGGGTTAATTAGTAGAACTTGTATCAGTAAAAATCATTATCATTTCCCAAAATTTCTTAGAATCTAAAAAAAATTTCTGGTTTTAAATAACCTAAAAAGGGTTGATAAGCTGTAAATAAACAAAAAAATGTCCACATTAGCAAAAATATAGTGCTTATATCAATACTGGGTTTAAATTCCACTGTTGTCTTTGTCAATCTGAAATCTCTTCTACTACTATGGTTGTCTCTTTAATTAAAAAAAAAAAAAAAAAAAAGTCAAGAACAATGTCCTGTATATCACAGCTCCCCCATCCAACATCTGTAGCACACCCCCACCTTTTGTACCTTATGCTATGTGTATATTACCAGAAGATGTACGGCAGCAGCAGCAGCAGCTTTGGATATTGTATTGTTCCATCGAACACATTATATCACCAAATTCCTCTCAGAATTCTTCATCATTTCACTGTCTCATCCTTTTAACCCGGTAGGATCTCTGAGGTATTGGCAGACCATGCGGACTCTAGCGTCAGGCTGGCATGGACTAAATCTTTCTCTCTATTATTTTTTCCCATGATTCTCTTTGTTGTGTGTTCAGTCAAAACTGACTCATGAAAAAATAAAAGAATCCGGGATATTTATTTGTCAATTTCTGTCTGTTTTTTTGGGAAATGAGAATTTTACAATGGAGACTCTCATTGATACTTGCCAACAAATTAATGAAAAAGTAAGTTTCCTTTTTCTTTCTCTTTCTTTTATAGTTTTTAATTCCTTGTTTTGGTTCAACTTTTAAAATTGTTTTTCATTTTTCATTCAATCTTAGTCAGTTTGTGGCTCTCCTGCAGATGAAAAGATTCTTGTAAAAAAGGGACTTTTGTTAATTTCCAAATGTTTTCATTAGAGGAAAAAACACGTAAGTGCCTTTTATTTGCTTTTAAAATTCCAAATGAAACATTAATTTGAAAGAGAGTCTGTAGAAAAAAACAAATCTGAACAGGAAAATAATTTTTAGGTCTATCTAGCTTGTTACAGAACTAGTAGAGAACAAACCTACTAACACTACCTATGCAACTAAACCAATAAAGTATTAAATTATTACTCTTTAGTGCCTAGTACAGGAAGGTGGTAATAATTGGTGGGTTTTAAATTTTTCTCAATATATAATAAATGAGGTTTCTTAATAAAAGGGAAGGTTGCAAAATCATTTAAAGGGTCCACTTAATAAGCTTGGGATGTGGGGTTGGAAAAATTTCCTAAAAAAAAAAAAAAATTTATTAATTTCCTAAGAGTAATTTAAATTTTTATTAATTTCCTAACAGTAATTAAACTTTAGAATAATCTATTTGATATCTTATACATAAATTTATCATGTTTTAATAAGTAATCTTTGAAACAATAGTAATACTATTCGTAGTGCTTGCATTACTTCCTGACTGCTGAGAATCAATTTCTTCCCGATTTACAAGTTGTAAAATCATGAGCAATATTTCAGGTAGATGGAGGTTAACAGCCCTGCAAGACAGTGCATCTAGGGGAGTGAAAACCCTGATTTTAAACCACTGCTGCCTTGCAGTCGTATATGAACAGGAAAAGGCTATGGAAGTAAATGTAGACAGAAAACTCAGAGTGGAACCCCGAAGGTGGTTGGCTGTCAACTTTCTAGCAACTCTTGCGGCTGAGCCATGCCAAAACATACTACCCTGTATTCCTTTGGATCTTGTCAGTGAAGATTGGAGGAGAGGGGGGTATGTCGTCTGGGCAGTGCACAACTTCTATATACCATTGCCCAAGCCTTCACCCTGAAGTGGGAATTACAGTTTGACCACCAAAGGACTGAATTTTGACCAAACAGGGTACTACCTTTATCTAGCAAGATAAACAGATATTTGCTACTACCATTATGTATTCACATTATATATGAAGTATCATTATTTTACCTGTAATACTTGCATTAATTTGTGACCACTAAGTATACATTCCTCCTGATTTTTCAATGCAGTTCTACAGTAAAATCATGTGTCATGCATTAAAATAACACACATAATTGCTCTATCTTGTAAGCAATTCTTGTATTAATTCCTGACCACTAACAATCCCTTTCTTCCTAATTATTGTCTGACCCACTTCCTAAATCTAACCAAATATCATAATTTTTTTGTTTTAATCCTTTCTTGGTCAGTTTAAGAACTTTTCAGCATGTTCTGTAAAATCATTAGTAATAGATTTACATAATACATAAAAAAACTTTATTCTGTGAATAATGCCCACTAATAGTCCCTTCCTTGATGATTTCCAAGTAAATTGTCCTGTTCACACTTTCCCCGGTCTTTTGAACAGGAGTAGAGGTTTGTCCCTTTTTCCTGTTTCAAATTGGTTTTCTGTTTCTTTTTAAAGTCTTTTCCTTCACTTGCACTTCTAGTAGCTCCTTGCATCTTAGTGACATTATTATAGCCTTACTTGGGGTAAATTGGCTAAAAAAACTTAGTCAGTAGCTTTCTTTGTTCAAGAATTAGGGCATTTATAGTAATATAGTAAAATTACCAACAATATATTTAATCTGTAGTTGAAGGCATACAATTGCATTCAAAATATATTTAGTTGAAGCCATAAAATTGTTTTCAAAATATATTTAGTTGAAGCCATAAAATAATAAAATAACCCATAGAGGTTGATATGCTGCTAAACAAAATCAACCAAACAAACGAAACAAACGAAATATTTCAAGGCATTAATTCGTATAATATCCTACAATTTCTTAAAAGAAATCAAACTGCATTGCAAAATATAACTTCAACAAAACTACAGCATAAAACACACATATCACTGCCTTTAGTAATTATGTCTACACAAACATGTATATGCACAAAAGCTGAGTATCATTTACCATGTATTCAATTGTGAAAGCAGAATAACATATATCATAATTTTATTACTTCAAAGCCCCAAGGAAATTAAAATTCGGCATTAAATGACCCATACAGAATTTATATGTCTGTTAAACAAACCAATCAAATTATAGTAATGAGAAATACATATGGTGGAATAATTAAAATGAATTAAAGTTTTATGCATTTGTTTACTAAATCCTATCTGTAACATCAAAAGTTTGTTGTAGTACTGCTCCTCGTCAAACTAAAACCAGTGGCAAACAAAATTACACATGTGAATGACAAGTTGTAATTGTTAGTAAAGGTGAAAGAAAATGTAATAAATTTCAACATGGTGATATTTTCATGTGTTTTTATTTTTTTTTTAATCATTTCACCCCAAGCCAGGGATTAATGCCACTATTTAAAATGCAGTCTGTGTGGTGGTGGTGTGTGGGGGGGGGGATACACAGGGAGTGAAATTGAATGAGAAGTCTGACAGCAGGAAGTATTGAGGAAAGCACAAAAACTGAACAGGGTTCAAGAAGATAGAAAATGGCAATTGGCATTGCATTTAAAGTTTTGAAGATTGTAGTTAGCAAGGAAGCAAGAAAATGGAAAGGAGTTCCACAGGTGGGAAGTGTGAGAAAAGAAACTATTACAGTAAAAGTGGCATTTACATCTAGCCATTTCAACAGTTAAAGGGTGGGACCTAATTACCAATCTAGCCTTTTCTTTTTGTTTTTGATATGTCCCAGAAAGGGATATATTTGATCAAAGTAGCTAAGTGGTTTTGGCTACTATAACCAAGTAGTACATGGTAGCAGTAATTAGCAGTTAACTAGTAGGCTGTATCAATAATTCCATAACCCAATACAGTACTTAATTGAATTTTAATCTGAAATTTTCACTGTATAATACACAATCTGCATTATCTATGAAAAAGTATCTTGGATAAGTGTAGTATCTGTGCACTTTATGAAAAGTCTTTCTCAAACATATTCACACATGCAAGCATATTTAAAATGCTTGTTCTACCCTGAGTTAACACAACCAATTTTATATCCTGCCAATACATCATAAATAATAGATATTCCATTTTGATCAGGTTGTTTCATGTTGGACGCAATCGTCAGGCCACCTGACGATTGCGTCCAGCATGAAACAGCCTGTCGCCTCCGAGTGTTGACTTCAATGTTCACTTTTATGTTTATATTTATATATATAGATATATATGGGCAGTAACTTTTGTTTTAAACATCTTGCGTTAAATATGACAGATAAGGAAAATTTAATTATTTCTTTTATTTAGTTTTTTCAGTGTTCTTACATTTTTCCATTTCAGCCAATTCTTTAGCCATTTTCAATGGGGTTTGTTTTAGGTATTGTTATTTTCTCTTCATGTTTAATAACTGTTTAAGATGTATTTTTTGTGTTGATTTCAATACTAGTAGAAGTATTTATTCTGACCCTTCACATGTTGAGCGCAATTAGAATTTGTATTATTTGCTAAAACATTGTATTATAATTTATTAGTATAAAAATAACAAATTATGAGGAAAACAGCAGTCAATTGCTGAAACCTCCTGACAAGTGGACTGAACAATTGCAAAAAGAGTTTGTTTACAAAAATCAAGAGTCAACAGGCTGAATATAATACCAATCAGCTTAGTGACAAATTTTATATTTGGATTAATCTTTTATATATATATATATATATATATATATATAAAATAGACTCTCCCATCGGTTTCGACGTATAAGGATCTGACAGCTTATTGATTCAGTTATGAAAGTTTGTGCGATAATCTTAAGTGGCATTTAAGACCCACTAGTGATTTACAAAGGAGGCCACATATGGAGCAAGTGTGAGGATTGTGACATGAGATCACTGTTAGATTGGCTGACCTTGTAGATCTTGCTCTCGCTTCTTGAAGATGATTCAGACAAGCAGATTGAAAATTGCTGAGTCCACTAAAACATGTTGATCTCCATTCTACCCGCTCCAAGGCTAAGCGCTAAAGGGTGTTATGTGGTATATTGACTTCTGACAAGTTGCTTTTCAGTTTGTCTTTGTATCTTAGCCATGGGCGTCCTACATTCCTGTAGCCCTGATCTAACTGACTGTACATTAGGATCTTGGGTATCCTGTCATCAGTCATTCTCAAGACATGACCAGTCCACTGTAACTGAGACTGTATGAAAAAAGTCTCGATTCCTCTAATATATATATATATATATATATATATATATATATATGCATATGCATGTTTCAAGAAAAAAATCGACAGACAAGGTACTACAGTTGAGCTTTTTATTTAATTTTTCTTGTGTTCTGACAAGAGCTTTCTTTTCTGGACAAAAGAGTGTGTAAGAACTGTCCGAATGTTCTGTGTTTCCGAGCTTTCGGCTATACCTTTAGCCATTATCAAGGATGGTTCAATTATCAGCTTAGTAGAGTGTGTTCTATGTATGTTCAGTGTGTGGTAGTGATGTTTTAGTTTCCCGAATCACGGTTAGCACATTGTGGCTTTGTTCATAGTTGATATTGTTAAGAGTTGGCTTTTTTTTTTTTATTATTAGAGCTTCCATTATTTTCATTATTCGGAAACTAAAACATCCAT